TCACTCTTTCCGCACACGCCTCCCATGTTGCCCCACAAGGAAGGGATAAAGGGAAGCAAAAGGGCAGAGAAATGCAGGGACGTCCCCCTGTTATGGTACTCACCCTGACATGCAGGCAGATTGCTTCATGGTGACTACCGCGGTTGCGGGGGCCACTCCGCTGGTTGATCACCCTTCGTCGACCTTCTTTCAAGACCGAGCAGCCGGGGGCCTCACTCACTCGCCTTTCACCCACGAGTTTTAAAAATGCCTCACACGGGGCACCACTCTGTTGGGTTCGCCGCTGGCCGACCCAAACAGCCCTAGCCTCGTTCCTTTTGGTGGGCGAGCGAATGGCCCGGATTCCTCTTTCCCTCTGGTCCCCTTTGTAAGGAAACAGGGGAAGAGAGCCGTGAAGAGAGGTGAGCACACCGCCGGCCCCAACCAGCCCAGTTTAAAGGACACTCAGCACTTGCTTTTAAAGGCAAATGGGGAAGGGAAGTTTTTTACATAATCCTATCAGCTTAAAGGTTACGAGAGCATGCATCCTGTCTCAATGCCTAGCTATTGCAACCTGGAGCGTGGAAGCGCGTATTTGGCCAATAATGGCTAAGGCAAGGTTCCCACAGACACCCCCAGCCTACTTCCTCCTGGCGCCGTCTTAGGCTGCCACATTAATACTCCCTTGTGGGCCCATAATGGCGCCACTCGTAATGTCACTTAAGGTGGCGTTAGTTTTTAAGGCCCGACAAGCCTATCCTTTCCTTTTCTTTTTTTTTAAGTTGCCATTTAATAAATTATACTAAAGACTTTTTATAAACTCAGAAACTGAGAAAGTGAATTTCTCTTATGACTGCCTATCAATTTCATTTGAAAATAAGTAGATTACCAGATATGCATTTACCAACAAATAGAAAGGACATGATCCAATGTAGTCAATTATTAAAATAATCATAATAGAATAATAGATGATACGAACTAAACAGATTTTAACATATTATATGGGTGATGTTTAAAAAATATTGTGACATTGCTGTTATAAAAAATATAATTTTTTTTCCCATCTCTGTTTTAGTATGACTAAATGTAAGGATGTTGAAACCTATGTTATTTTAGCGATAAAAACATTCCTTATTCATTCATGGATAATTTTACTAATTAAAATAAAGAAAAAATAAAATTTAACACAATCAGTACAATTAACACATGTATTTCCAGTAACATTTTATAGATTCTCTCTGAATATTTTACAAATTTCAGCCTATTCTTAACAAGAGCTTCTCACCTCATTGCTTGCTGTTAGTACTTTTCAGATACATGAATAAGCATCCTTAAAGATGGGCTGAAAGAGCTTTATTTGAAGTTTTTGCTCTTTTCTGATCTGTTTTTAGAATCAGAATCACAGAATGTTGGTACTAGAAGAAAATTTATTTTTTATTTTTTAATTTTATTTATTTATTTTAAAAGATGACCGGTAAGGGGATCTTAACCCTTGACTTGGTGTTGTCAGCACCACGCTCAGCCAGTGAGCGAACCGGCCATCCCTATATGGGATCCGAACCCAGGGCCTTGGTGTTATCAGCACCGCACTCTCCCGAGTGAGCCACGGGCTGGCCCTAGAAGAAAATTTAAATATCTAGTTTCCCACTTTCATTTCACAGATATAACAAATCATAGATAAGACTGAGTGACTTGTTTCAAATCATTGAACAAGTTAGTGGCAGAGCCAAGACTGGAATCCAGATCTCTTGATTCAAGCCATTGCTTGTCCCACTGCTCTCTACTGTAGCCCCACAGTCGAAGTTAGTGGCTTTTCCCGTAGGCCTGGGAAGTCTTTGAGTTCCAACCTTATCTCTTGTGGAGGAATTTTTACCCCAGGATACTTAGTCTTTAGAAGCACCTGTCCTTTTTCTTTGTGCATTGCCACATCTCTCTGAAGTTTACCCATTCAGTCGCTGACTTTTATCATTGGTGATGCTCTTCTAGGATAATAACAATATTCTTTCATTCAGACTTAAAATAGTTGTTTGCTTAGGGGATCGGCTGTTCCTGGGTTCCCCTGAATCCAGAGTGTGAAGGAAATAGGCTGACAATTTATTGGTGGTTCTTTTTCCTCCCTTAGTGCCTCAGATTCCTGCTTTTGTTCAAGAAAAGAGCCCCCAGGAGACAAACCGGTATTGCTTATGTTCTTAACAGCTTGTCTCTGGGTAAGTGAAATCTTACTAGAGAGCCCAGGATGGGTTGTTACCGGGATGCTCATTCAGAAGTGGCAGACCTATAGTGGGACCCGCTAGTGACTACTACACCTGGACCCAGCACACTGATAACATAGAACCACCCAGAAATGGGTACTCTTTTACTTAAATCAGTGAGAGTGGCCCAGTATGAAAGATGGCTATGCAATAATTGGCTATAGGAAAAATCAAGGAGTGTGCTAATTTTATCACATGAACCTGAACTGTAGCATGACTAGCTATTCCCTGTGCAGTCATCACATGGCACATCTTGTATCTACTTATTGAACTGCTAGGTCTGATGCCTTACAGGTATAGAGTTCAGATCTGGGAAAACTGATAATAGATTATTGGAAGACCTATTGAAAAGTTAAGGGTTTTCTCACAGAATATGGATTAGGCTCCTGGCCCTATTTGGAACAAGAGCTTAAGTAATCGCAACTGCCATTGCAAAGGCAACATGGAGCCTGGAAGTCTGTTAAACTCAGTAAAAATAGTTCTGGGAGAACCAGATTCTTAGGTTATGGAAATTCTGTGAATAGATCATGATTGTATATGTCCTGAAGAATTTCGTTAGTTCATTTGGTTAAAGTGTGGTACTGATAACACCAATGTTCAGGGTTTGGTCCCTCTACTGGCCAGCTGCCCCCCCCCCAAAAAAAAGAATTTGTTATAGTCTAATATGTATGTTATGTACACTATGTGTTTATATATGTGTATATGCATTGAGAGATGACTAGGAGAAAGCTCATGAAAATACCACCTGTATTTTCTGTGAGTGGTATTATTTCAAGTGATTTCCTTTTTGAAGTAATTTTTTAATAGAAAGAGCATGCATTCTTTGTATGATAAAAAAGAAAACCTTTTTGTTTAAGGAGAATAAGAGTAAAGGAAATAAAAATGTGGTCACAGTTTTGGTTTTACATTTAGCTGTTTAAAATACCTATTGGTTCCCCATACTGGTCAGCTGCCAAAAGAAATTTTAAAAAATAAATATAAGCTACCTGGAGTTTATTTTTGTACATAGTATATTCGTACTGGAAGTTAATGCCCAGACAAAGAGTGGGGCTAGCCAGTTAGCTCATTTGGTTAGAGTGTGGTGTTCATAACACCAAGATCCAGGATTCAATCCCTGTACTGGCCAGTTGCCAAAAAAACCAAAACAAACAAACAAAAAGAGAGATAGGTTTAGGCAAGATAGTCAATATATTTAATAGCCAGTGTGGTATAGGCACTGGCCAATTAGATTCTCTCTGGATGTAAACAATTTATGTAGATATATCAGTGTGTACCAGCTTACTTTCATCCCCAGTAGATCCATATTTACCAACATGAAATGATCTCTAAGACACATTCTTTAGGGGGAAAAAAAAATTGTAGAGCAGAACCTACCAAACAATTTTATTTATTTAAAGAGAATCAAATGCTATATGTGTGTAGAAAAATATGTAGAAAAAGGATTATATACTCCAAACTTAATAATGATAATCTTGGGGGAAGGGAATGGGTTTGTTTGGGTAGGGTGGGGTGGCGAAGGCTATAAAAATGACTATTTAATCCTATATACTTCTATATTATCTAAATATTTTTAAGTGTGGATATATTCACATGTTACTTGTGCGATTAGAAAACTAAAATAAAAAGGGGTCTCAGAGAATAAACATGTGTCAGTATCTCCAGCACCATCCAGGGAAGAGATTGCTCTGATGTGCAGCACCTGAATATCCATTCTCTGATTCTGTGTGCTTTATTCAGGTCATCAGCATTTCAAAGTTTGATGCCATTATGATCATCTAAGTATTCCTCTCTTTCTCCAATTCTGTTCTTCCCAAGGAGTGTTCTGATGGCAATGATTTGGTTCCTATACAGTTTTCTAAAGTAAAGAGAATGTGTTAACTAGCTGGACACTGAGCATAAAAATTTTTCATTGTAAATTAGTAAAGTGACTAATGATGTGACTGTGTTCTACATCATTCCCCTTGTAATTTGATTACTTTACTCCAGGTTCTGAAGCATTTCTTTGGCTACAAAGGTTAGAGCCAGATCCTGGACCATGAAGTTACAGCCTAGTTATTATCCAATGGACCATCTCTGTCTTTTCTGAAACCAAACAGCAATATCTCATTTCCTTTCAGTAAGCAGGACTCTAGTTTTCAAACCTATAGGTTTTCCAGTTGGACCTAGGGGCAGAGCTAGAGATGCTAAACGTTTTGTAGAGAAAGAAAGGTCTAAAGACACACCTGTTAAGGTGAGTGAATATGGAAGGATTGGTGAGATGAGTCTAATGAAAGTTATAGCCTGGATCCCCTTTGAAATCTTGGAAGGGAAACTCTTTAATTATCACTTGTCTGCCAAGATATTGCTTATAGTCCACTGAAGGAAATAGTATTACTATTCACCTATTTTTTGAGGAGTACAGACTATAGATGGACAATAATTTTCCCTAAAACTTAATTTATTCAAGTCTAGGATACTTACTTCATCATTTTTTTTTTTTTACTGTTTATCACTACGGATGCAAATCTGGATGGTCCCAAATACTTGTATTAGTTTTTAGTATTTGTTTCAGAATCAGTCATGATAGGAAATTTGATAGAATTCCTAAGACCTCTCCTTACTTTATCTTTTTCTTCATAGAGGCTGATCATCAGGAGTTTGCTTTTGAAGAAGTTGAAAATGTATGCTGAACAAGGAAGAGGAGGGGCAATCCTGCAGGAATGATTGGGAAAACAACACATGCACGTGTGCATGTATACACACACACACTTTTCCCAGGAGAACAGTGTCACACTATTGATAATCATTTTTGAGAAAATAGCACATAAGTATGAATTTGAGAGGTGTTATCCAAACCTGGATAACAAAGTGCCTTTAGTGTGTTACAAGCAGTGTGAGTTCCAGCCAGATTAACATGCAGAAGAGACCATCGAAGTGTAGTGAATGTGGAAAATTCTTTACTCAGAGGTCATCTCTTACCCAGCATCAGAGGATTCACACAGGAGAAAAGCCCTATGTATGCAGTGAATGTGGAACTTGTTTCCGTAAACAGTCAAATCTTACTCAACATCTGAGAATTCATACAGGAGAGAAACCTTATAAATGTAACGAATGTGAGAAGGCCTTTCAAACAAAAGCAGTCCTTGTCCAGCATCTGAGAATTCATACTGGAGAGAAGCCCTATAAATGCAACGAGTGTGGAAAAGCCTTTTGTCAGAGCCCGTCCCTTATTAAACACCAGCGAATTCATACTGGAGAGAAACCATATAAATGTACAGAATGTGGCAAAGCCTTCAGTCAAAGCATATGCCTTACTCGTCATCAGAGAAGTCATTCTGGAGAGAAACCTTACAAGTGTAATGAATGTGGGAAAGCCTTTAACCAGAGTGCATGCCTCACACAGCACCAGAGAATTCATTCAGGAGAGAAGCCCTACACATGTACTGAATGTGGTATAGCCTTCACTCAGAACTCTTCCCTTGCTGAACATGAAAGAACTCACACCGGAGAGAAACTTTTTAAGTGTAGTGAGTGTGAAAAAACTTTCCGCAAGCAAGCACACCTTAGTGAGCATTACAGAATTCATACTGGAGAAAAACCTTATGAATGTGTTGAATGTGGGAAATCCTTTAGGCACAGTTCAGCACTTGCTCGACATCAGAGGCTTCATGCTGGCAAGTAAAACTTGGAATGTAATGTGTGGAATGATTTGTATGAAAACACTTTTCTCTAAATTCCTCGGAGTTTGACTCAGTCTTCAGTTGGGATGAATATTTTGTATTTTTTGTCCTAATAGTTAAGAAAATAGGCCTCAGAACTAGTTAGTCTTGAGTTTGATGCCTTCTCTGCCACTTAATGGGTGTGTGACCTTATCCTCTCTGAGTCTGTTTCCTACCCTCCCCCCCCAAAAAAAAAAGAAAAATGGGGATACTTTCTAGGGATATCTTGAGAATAAAATGAGTTGTATATGATCATTAACTGCCATTAGTTGGTTTACAGATGTTCTAAAAGTTTACAAGAATATCTAAATCTGGCTTTTAAAAACAAGTGAATCAGCATTAGTTTTTTTTTGGTTCTCATAATATATTTTTTCTTAAGAACATTCTTGTAATTGGGCTATGATTTCATACTTAATCTACAGAAGTCTGTTTAAACTATAAGTTTAGATTGAAATAGGAGAATACAATTTAAGGCTGGTTTATCCTTGGGAAACTTCAGATTTCATCAGCAAGAAAAGAAATGATTGGGATTTGAGTGGACACTGTGAAGTGTGTACTTCTGGTTACCCTCAAGAGCTTTATTTAGATTTTGATACCTCCCATTATTGGGTCTAATTTTACTTCAAGGTCTAGGTTTCTCTTTTCCATGAAAAGGGAAGCCTCACCAACATTGACTGAATAAAACCTCGTGTTGCAGGACTTTTGTGTATGTTCGGGGATGGTGGCGGGAAAGTGGTGGTTAGAAGGCACATGACACTAGAAAGGGGTGGGATACAGAAGAGAATGTAAAGATGTTGAGGATGTGGCTGCACTTGTTTTGAATTCTAGGAGAAAAGCACTAAAGGTGATCTCTTAGGGGTAGGAGACGTGGAGTTCTCAGTTGCCAGCCTGTGATGCCACTGACCAACAACTAGCTGTCTGTCAAAGGAAGGCAAGAACAGTGTCTTGGTGATGTGTATGGATGCCTCACAACAAAGAATGGTTTCTTAAAGCTATAAAGAAGCAAAGAAATCAAAGGATACTTTTGATGGTGTTTTATGCAATACTAGGCTTTTTAAACATGCACATGTAATGCTAAAAGCACCCTTGCAAGAAAGGTAGGAATCAGGGAAAAATAAGATGTTTGATTTGCTCAAAGTCAAACAGCTAATGTCAGTTGAATCTCAAATCTAGATCTTTTTACTCTAACTATAACCATTGTTATTATAGTGCAAACTCCCATACAGGTAATTTTCCATCATTGAGCCTTTCCATTAAAGAATGAGATACCAAATTTGTGAAAACCTTTATTTTATTTTATTTTTTCTAAAAGATGACCGGTAAGGGGATCTCAACCCTTGGCTTGGTGTTGTCAGCACCACGCTCAGCCATTGAGCAAACCGGCCATCCCTATATAGGATCCGAACCCGCGGCCTTGGTGTTATCAGCACCGCACTCTACTGAGTGAGCCACGGGCCGGCCCGTGAAAACCTTTTTTTAAAAATAAAGGTTTATTTTTTCAACTTAATGTGTGCTCACTAAAATATTTATAAAATTAGAAGAGTGAAAAAATTAAAATTACATGCTTTCATTATTCAAATACAGTCACGGTAGTATATTTATTCTAGCATTTCTTCTCTGCTTAACTTTTCTCTCTCTCCTTTTAAAAATAACTATAATAATTGTATGTATACACCAATGTTAATGGCCAGGAGACCACAATCAACCAAATCCAGAGAATGTGAAAGATTGTACAGATTGTACAGGACAAAGACCCAGTTTCTTCAACAAAATGAAAAAAAGGTAGGGAAAGGGAATTAAACATTTAAAAAGATTTATGAAACACATCAACCAAATATAGTGGAGCTTGCTTGGTTTCTGATTTGAAGAAACCCCCTGTACAAAGGCATTTTGAGACAACTGGGGAAAATTTAAATATGGACTACCAGTAGCTGGTTCTAAGGAATTACTAATGGTATAGGGTGTAATGATAGTTGTGTTTAATATTGTTAAAAATATATCTGTAGTATCTACAGGTTGACTTTTTTATTTTTTTTAACGCATATCTGGTTCCTTCCCAGGTTTTGGAAGAAAGATGAGCACTGGTAGCTAAAACAAAACAAAACAAAGCCTTCCACGTCAGAATATTGCATTTATCCTCAATACGAGAAATAAGAACAGTCATTCCTTTACAAAGGTTCCCAGTCAAAATCAGAAGAGGTGGCAAAATGTGGGCACTAGAATTCCCTGTACACCTCTATTCCAGCATCCAATCCAAAGTGTAATAACTTCATTGGTTTCCTCCAATAGGCAATAGGCCTCTGGATCAGAATAGTGCCTGGAACAAAGCAGGTACTCAGTGTGTACCCATTTAGGGGAAGATTCTTGGAGGAAGGACTAGTAACTCAGACCTAAAAGAAAAATCAGTGTAGGGTTTCCCTGGGACTTTCCTGGTTTTAGCACTGAAAGTCCACATTCCAGGAAACCCTTTAGTCCTGGATGAGCTAGATGTTGGTCATCCTAGACCAGCAAGATTTGGCCTCAGTGACCAGCTCATCTTGTTTTACCTACTCTAGTTTTATAGAATCAGAATGTAGGAGCCAGTCTGTTGCTGCATTCTCGTCTTGGGTGGCTTAGATTCCATCCAAATTAGGTCCAGGCCCCCTTTATTTCAAAAGTAATTTAAGCTTTGGAGGAGAGTTCTGCTGTAATTCTGCTTAAAACTTCAAGGAACTCATAACAGTTCTTTCCTGTTTGTTAATGTTACAGAGAAAAGTGTAGAGCTGTTTTAAGCAGGCTGCCATGCAAAATGAAGACAGCATGCTTTCACATTGCATCATCATACAGAGAGTGTTCTTCAGATTTTAGCTAAAAGCTGGCTCTGGGAGGTCCTTCCCTTTGATTTGGAACTTCAGGAAACTACCAGGAGCCTGTAGCTATGCACATGTTCAGGGGAAGTTATAATAATAACAGCTATAATTTGCTTCCTGTGTGTAGGGTTTTTGTAAGCCCCTTACATAGTTATCTTCTCAATCACTGGAATAATTAAGTCAGGAATTGTTGCCCTGACTGTACTGTTGAGGAATCTGAGGCTTAGTATCTGCAACATATGCCAGTTCACACAACTTGTATGTGACCTTGTTGGGATTTGAAGGCAAGTTCACAGGAGAAAGGACAGGTTGCTTGTGAACTTGTTTGGGAGAGGCCATGGGGATGTTAAAAATATAGAGACAAATCTCTAAGAAAAACTTCTATTTGGGAATACAGCATTGCAACGGGAATGTGCATACCACAGTAAACTATGTGCATATTCAGGAAGGTAAGGGACGACAAAGGTTTTTAAAGGCAAGAGAGAAAAGTTTAAAACGTGTTTTGAAACAAACCGAACATTGGTTACACGGGCCTATGGCAGGAGTTGCTGTCAGTTTATTAGTGAAGACAGTGTCAGGCAAATGTTCTTGTACATCCAGCTAGCTGTCCTGTGACTCCTGTAGCAAGTAAAAGTTTGAAAAGTCCTTGGTAAAAGTTTTTGTTACAAGCATGTGTATAAGTTTTTGTAATTGTTTTTATCGTAGACATGTATGTGTGAGTGCCCTCCCTTCTCAGCCTCATAGCTTTATTTTTTGTTAGAGTTTGACAAATAACTACTTTTGATTCTGACAACTATCTCATGGGGCAGGTAGGACAGCAGAGATGCCTACACTTGCTGACTGCTTCCATTATCATCTCTGGTGTTAGAGGGCCCTATGAGCTTAAAGAAGCCAGGGTGGAAAGAGCAACCCCAGGACATCCCTTTCAGCTTCTCGGTCCCTTCAGCAGGTGTCAGCTGGCCCAGGAATTGAGGCTGCTGGGCATGTGGGGTAATCTGAGTCCCATAAAATGGAACTCAAATGGTGCACAAGGATGTGTCCCCAGGAAACAGGGCTGGGTCAGGTAGACTGAGCAAGGAGGAATGCTAAATTTAAAGGAGAGCCATGGAAGGAGGCCAGGAGCCAGGGAAGATGTTGGAAGATCCATCTGTCTGACAAAATCCCAGGTAGGATCCCAGGAATGAAACCTGTACAGCAAGGGAAGGCCAGCTCCCCGTGCTGCAGTTGGATCCCTTCACACTCTACTGGGAATCCCAAGATGGGGCCTGAGGGTGTGGTGGGTGGGTTAGCTCTGGGTTCTATGCCTTGTCCTAAAGATTCTTCTCTTGAGAAACCAGGTGGATCAGTTCATCCTGGGATCCCAGGGATTGACAGAAAGTCAGGTTAGCTCTAAGAACTCTTCAGATCCTCAGGACAGGGCAGCTCTCAGTTCTGCTGGAACATCCACAGCTCCCTACTGATGGTTTCATTTTGAGGGCTGACACCTGGTATTAGCTCACAGGACTAGAATAAGGCATCTGGAAGAAGAAATAAGAATAAGAAAAACAGGACACAAATTAGCCTGAAAACTCAAATTTTGTGTTTGGGGGAAGAGGTGGTGTGCAGTCCTATGTAGGAGTCAAGGTGGCAGGTTTGCCTGAAGGTCTAGTTTTGCCCTGCCTCTTGGCCCCTGGAATATTATGGGGTAGTTGAGCAGATATGTGTCCAATGATACGTGCTCTTCTTAAGGTTTGGGGATGTGATAAGGAGGTTGATGTTGAATATAGAAGGCTGTGCCCACAACCCAAATGGTTGGGTTAGTTGTGGACATGTTAGGTTCCTACATTATTCTGGTAGCTCAGGGAGGCTCCAACTGTGAGGTGAGTGGTCTCAGGACCAATACTCCCCTCTTGGAATCCTAGGTATGGGGACACTGGAAGGAGAAACAGACCTTCTCCCGATAGGATTTACTATTCACTGCTCACTTCCTTGTGAGGAATGGATCATATAAGCAGAGCTGACCAAGGCCTGGGCTAGACAGGCAAGCCAATGTGGCACTCTTGCAATCAATGTACTTCAAATACTTGTTCAACATTTGCTTAGAATCAGCATGAGGGAAGAGGCCTAGTCTCTCTTTTCTGGGCCCAAACTCACTTACCTCTCTCAGCAAAATAGAGACTGCAGTTAATAGGATCCACTGTTTTGGGAAAGCAGTTTATACAGGATGAAGTAGTTTCCTTAAGGATGTTCAGCACATCTCATATGCCATCATATTTTTGTCTTCGGCTTTCATCACAAGATGTGCTTCCTGGCTGATAGCTTATATTTACATTGTTAGAAATATCACCTGCAGTAAAGGCTTAATGATTGTTGGGAAAATATAGGAAAATGGTCAAGGCCCCCCAGGTGTTCAGAATCTTGCCAAGCATTTGCGGTAAATATCCTCAGGTGTTCCTTGGTTACTACTTAATGTAATTGTGTACAGGCACCCAGGTGTCCTGGGTTATGGACCTAAGTATAAAGGACTAACAGCTCTGATACGTCGTGCTTCTCAAAATGCTCCGAGAAGCCACTAGGACGGCTGCTCCTATCTCTGAATAAAGCCTATTAATTTTTTACCCACAGCTCCCAGGACCTTTTCCTATTACCTAGCTCGTAGACCTGCATGTGGAGGGTTTGTGACTCAGTCTGTGCAACGGGCTTGAGGGGTCTGTGAGCCCTAGCCCTAGCTCTACAATGTGTTTCAAGATTTAAGACCCTTTAAACAGTTTTTCATATTCTGTTTAAAATTTTCATTTTCTCTCTTATTATAGGTCTAATAGTCATTATTAGTGGTTGAGTGAACGTCAGAACCACCTGGAAGGCTCATTTATAGAGACTGCTGGGCCCTGTATCCACTTTCTGACTGAGTAGGCGAGGCCTGAGAATTTGCATTTTTAGGATCCCATTGATTTCTGATGCTGCTGGTCCAGGGTCCATACTTTGAGAACTACTGGTCTATAAAAAGAAAGAGACAACACTATATTTCTAACTATATTTATCATGCACTTAATATGCCAGGTACTGTTCCACGCACTTAGGATACAGTGGTAAATAAGACAAAGTCTCTGCCTTCAAGATTCCCACTTCCAGATACTGACATATTAAAATTTACTACACTGTAATAAAAACAATGTAGTTTTGGTAAAAGAATAGATATAGTAATGATATTGATTAGAAGAAAATCCCTGGCTTATGTAAGAAGTGAGCATACAGTAAAGACAGTATTGCAAAATGGCTGTATGACTAGTGAAAGTAATTTAGAGAGAGCCTATTTCAGGGCTCCCCAGCCCACCAATGTGCATCACTTTTGGGTATTCTTCACACTGGGTACTTAAAATGGGGGAAAAATAGATGTGGCACCAAATTCATGACAGGATGCTCTGAAATTCATAATTTCAGATGGATGTAGCTGGTAAAGGATGGGATCTTAACAAGCTCCCAGTTTGGGTTGACAGGATTATGCAGGGTCTTGAGGAGTCACCTGGAAAGGCTTGGACTTTACACTGCTTCCCTCCCTTCCCTACCCCCAACATTTGGAGAAATCTCTCCTTCAGATGGTCTTTCAAATAAGTGGGAAACAGATATGGTTTTAGGACAATTGATTATTCAAGAAAAAAGTATACTAGAATAAATTCCAGATGAAATAAAGTTTAAGATGTAAAAAATAAAAACAAAAACAAGAGAATATAGGTGATTCTTTATCTGATAGAGGTTGGGAAATGGAGAACAACAGAAAAAGATAAATTACGTAATTTACAAATAAGTAAAAAAAATATGACTATACTAATGGAAAATGAACAAAAAATTTAATTCAGAAAAGAAATATAAAATGGTCTGTTAATGTATGAAAAACAGTTTAGTCTTTCTGGTAGGTCAAAGAAAATGACAATTAAATTTATTATACACCATTTTCAATATATCAAGTTGAAAAAAATTAAATGCCTGGTGACAACCCAAGGCTGGTGTAATATAATATAAAATATTCATAATAGTAAAAAACAGAGGGCTCAGGCGAAATGGAAATTCTCTGTACTTTTCGATTTTTCTATAAATCTAAAATTCTTGTGATAATTTATTAATAAAAATTAGTACATTTTTTTTTATTATGTTAGCAGTTAGAGACGAAAAAAGCTTCACTGTTATCATGGATAAGGTGAAGTGGGCTCGTACAGATGGTAAATGAATAAAATGGTAAAAAATATCTCTAGAAAGCAATTTGAAAGTAAATATCAATAGCTTTTAAAATATTCAAATCTTTTGGTCCAGTAATTCTGTTTTCAGCAATTCAGTCTAAGGAAATCATCAAAATACACTCAGGATGTCTATACAAGCATGTTTGGCCAGTTATTTATTGCATCACTTAGGACTGCATTTGGCTGAATGCAACAGAAACCTGACAGAGGTTCAAACAAGCAGAGTGGCTATTCATTTCATGTAGCAAGAAGTTCAGGGGTCAACAGTCCAACGTTGGTGCAGCAGCTCCTTGAGCTATGCCATCAAGAATCCACACTCCTTGAGTCTTTCCACTACATCACCCAAAGCAAATGGCTACCTTCTTTATGCCTAAGAATGGCTCTGGTACTCTTACGTTTCATGTCTGCACTCCAAGCAGGATGAAGAGACAAGGGCAAAGGCTTATGTTTGCCAAGTCTGTTCTTTTGTGTCAAAAACCCAGCAGCTTTATTAGCACTTGTATCTCTTAACTTGCCAGAGCTGAGTCATATGGCCACCTTTGCAGGAGCTGGGGAGGTATTTTTAATTAGGCATGTTGTCATCTCCCCCACGCAAAGTGCAGAGGAAGATGCAATAGGGGATCTGTTTAATTATGAAATTCTCTAGCATTAATGTCAGGTTTTTGAAATCTACTGACCTGAAAAAACGTTCACAATGTAATGTCCAGTGAGAAGCAGGACAGAGAATATATACAATATACTCTTCATTTTGTTAGAAAAAATATAATTTAGGGCCGGCCCCGTGGCTCACTCGGGAGAATGCCGTACTGGTAGCACCGAGGCTGCGGATTCGGATCCTATATAGGGGTGGCCGGTGAGCGTGGTGCAGACGGCACTGAGCCAAGGGTTGCGATCCCTTTACTGGTCAAAAAGAAAAAGAAAAAAGAAAGGAAAGAAAAAATACATATATAATTTATATACATACCCACCCACACATGGGAAATAACAAAATGTTAATAGAAGTTAACTTCTACAGAGTTGGCATTTCAAACCAGAGGAATACAGTAGATAGACATTTTTATTTTATTATAAAAACACCCCATACACTTTCAAAGGAAACTAAGTCCAAAATGTTTACACTTACTCGTTTTCATCTTCATTGCCAAAAGAAAGGAGGCTACTGTTTTTGATTTGCTTTTGTGAGTTCTTTTTAACTGAGTCCTGCTTCCTTATTTCATTTTCATTTGTCATCTTCTTTTTTGAGCTTACTGTTAAACCTGAATATTTTTCATCTGAGGGACGCTTGACTGGTTTTCGATACATGATTCTTCCATCAGCTGGAGCTGGTTCTTCATCTGAGTAGAAAAAAAAAGTTAAAGAACTTTCTTCTCTCCTCATTATTTTGCTTTTATCAGAGTCAAATGACAAGAAAATCTCATATTGTATTTAAGGATGTCCTTGAGTTAATTCAATCTGGTCTCCACTGCCTCTAGCTATATGCCCCACAAGACATGCAGTCACTCAAAGAAAATTCAGTTAGTGAAGTATTACATAATACTGCTAGTCCCCAATTAATTGTAATCAGGTTGTATTTTTAAATATTTTGAAAAGTGACTACTTGTAACTACAGCATTTCCCCCTAAAACAATGTGTTAAATGTTTAGGAATAATGAAACGTGCTGTGTAGCATATCACATTCCAGGCACTAATTAAATAGACCTTTGTTGACTGGTTTGTAAACCTAACCACCTATTTTTTTGAAAACAGGATGCTTTTGCTTAAATCCATATTTAATCCTCATAATAACCCAATAAGGTAGGTACAATTATTGTTCCCATTTTACTGATGAGGAAATTGAGGCTAAGAAATGAAATAACTTGCTCAAGGTTACACATCTGGTTAAGTGTCAAAGCCAAGGCTTGAACCTAGGACTGTCTTCTTCAAACATACCATACTATTTCATAACATAAAGCAATTTCATACTCCAGGCTCTTCAAGTTGTTAGAAAAACCAGATTACTTGCAGACATACCTGCTTTGGCAGCCTTTATTTCTGCTTTAATTTTCATTACTTCTTCAGCTGACAGGTCTCCCTTTTTTAAAACCACCACTTGGGGCTGTTCATCTTCTTTGTCACTGTGATCACCATCTTCATCTGGCAGCTGAGGCTGGATTCTCTAGGGGAAAACACAAATACAATGTGTGGGTTGCTGGCCTTGAACAGAATTCAACCACTGCCTCTGTGAGAAACTGTAATTATTAAAGTGAGAAGGGTAACTTTCTTGACTAAATGTGTTTGGCAATGAATTTTCAAGTAACCTCCAAAAGCCTAGCCTTGCCACACAAAGAAATAGGTCTACTTTCCAGTCACCCTGGGTGCCTGTCCAGTAGGATTCATTTCCACCTCAGCAGCACCCCATCTTGCAGTTATTAGCCTCAGGGGCCCTCTGCTTTGGGTACTGCTGTCATTCCTAGCCTACTCAGGGCAGCACTGAGGCATGTCAGTCTCTTTGCTCCTCACCAACATTTTCTACCTCTGTCTCTTCTCAAAGTCAGACAAAAAAATAATCAACCACCACCGAAGGATAGGAAGCACCAAATAAAAGGTACTCCTTTCCCCACCTCTGCTCATGCCTTCTAACAGCTTCAATTTGGTGGATATCTTATCACCTGTTTTCCAAGTGTATACAAATATGTAGGTATATGAAACATTTTGTATACAAACAGAATACTGGAATTTTACCCTGTGACTTGCTTTCTTCTTATTAAACTTCGCAAACATAGAGAGAATAAACAAAAACCATGTACTCACTGTATACATGTAACTAATGGTAACATTATGCCAGTTGATTGAGATTTTTACAAAATGTCTGACACCATAAAAGCCCCACTCCTCGGGGCCGGCCCGGTGGCGCACTGGATAAGTGCGCCGCTTGGGAAGCGCGGCGCTCCTGCCCGAGGGTTCAGATCCCACATGCAGACCGGTTCCCGCTCACTGGCTGAGCGAGGCGCGGGAGTGACACCGAGGGTTGCAATCCCGTTGCCGGTCCCCGGTCCGGTACGGGGGCAACACTGAGGGTTGCGATCCGTTGCCGGACACGGAAAAAGACAAAAAGACAAAAAAAAAAAAAAGCCCCACTCCTCAACTTTTATTCAAAGGAATCTTTGCACAATACTTTGGGATACATATAGAATCTGATTTAAAAAATCACTTCCTCATATTTAATTATATATGGTTATCTCATGATTTATTTGACCAGTACCCTGTAAATAAAAATTATGGTTGCTCCAGTTTTTTTCTACAATGAGAAAAACTTTGTACATTTTTTTTTTTTTTTTTTTAAAGATGACCGGTAAGGGGATCTTAACCCTTGACTTGGTGTTGTCAGCACCACGCTCAGCCAGTGAGCAAACCGGCCATCCCTATATGGGATCCGAACCCGCGACCTTGGTGTTATCAGCACCGCACTCTCCCGAGTGAGCCACGGGCCGGCCCCTGTACATGTTTTTGTTCACTTTTGGGAACTTATATGTAAGATAAATTCCTGGAAGTGGAACTGTTGGGTTGAAAGCTATGAACACCAAAAATGTGTTTTCACACATTATTCAAATGGCCTTCCTTGTCTCCTAAACAGGACAACAAAGCCCTGCATGAATTTTCCTCAGCCTATAACCACAGCTTTATCCTGTACCACTCTCTCATGGCCTCTAAACTCCAGCCTGGTTTGAGTACTTGGAGATTCATGAATATATCAACTCCTGTGCCACCAGCCTCTGCAGAAATTCCCAGTGTTTAGAAAGCCCCTTTGGGGCCGGCCCGTGGCTCACTCGGGAGAGTGCGGTGCTGATAACACCAAGGCCCCAGGTTCGGATCCCATATAGGGATGGCCGGTTCACTCGCTGGCTGAGTGTGGTGCTGACAGCACCAAGTCAAGGGTTAAGATCCCCTTACCAGTCATCTTTAAAAAAAAAAAAAAAAGAAAGCCCCTTTGGCCCTGGCCAACTCCTACTCAAGCTGCCTTCAAGATTTAGATCCTCTGGATGCTTACCTAATCTCACCTCCTCTTCTTTTTTACACTGTGCATAGCTCATAGGTTGCATATACCATACTGTATCATCAGTGTTTTTCTGTTTGTCTCCAGTAGGCAAGCTCCTTTGAGAGAGGTACTGTGTTTCATCTCTGTATCTAGAGGCACAGAGCCTGGAAAATAGGGACTCAAGAAATATTTGTGGCTCTATTCATGAATGACCAATAGGATAAAAAATGATGAACTACCTGAAGCCCTGGCAAGTTACTCACAAGCACATTCATCCATCTTGTCTACATCTTAAGTTCCCAAGTCTGTTCCATCACTGGACAAATGCATTCTCTTTAATGAGATACATGTTAGTTCACTGTTATTCATCCATTTCTGCATATTTTTCTGACAGTTTCCAATAAATGACCACAAACAAGTAGGTAATTAATAAGTATTTTTAGCCAAGGAAATGAGAAAGTGAAATAAAATCATTCCTAGTGCTCAAGAGAATCACTAATTGTGACTCTTCTCTTTTTGTTTATGTGACTCGCTGCCACTGTTCCTCAGACTCTTGAATTAACTCTTAAGAAGGTAAGATGATTTAGCTCAATTATATAATGATTTCTCATAAAACTCTTTTCTTTTTGTTACTAGATCACTAAAATGCTGATCATATTGCCAAATTCATTAAGAATAAAGGGGTTTTGGGCCAGCCCGTGGCTCACTCGGTAGAGTGCGGTGCTGATAACACCAAGGCCATGGGTTCGGATCCTATATAGGGATGGCCGGTTTGCTCACTAGCTGAGCGTGGTGCTGACAACACCAAGCCAAGGGTTGAGATCCCCTTACTGGTCATCTTTTAAAAAAAAAAAAGAATAAAGGGGTTTCTCAAACAGGTTCATGGGGTACCTCTCTAAGAAAAAAATCTCTTGATTAAATAAGCCAAAATCACTGATGTTAACTGGAAAGCTTTTCTTGAGTTCTCCTAAGTAGCATTCCAAGTCATAATCTTCAAGGTGTCAACTATGTGCATACGATCATCACCAGGACCTCAAGCAGAGTAAAGTTAGGTCTCATGTTCTCTTCATTGCTGAATCCATGTCCCTTTTCTCAAACCTCATCCTCTTTGTCATTATCACCCTTTTTAGTCATGGGGATCAGTCACTCCACGATTGTGTTATCTCTAGGAAAAAATATCTTCTTGTTGCTTACTGAATAGTCCATATGGCCTGACCTCCAACACTCCCTCTATCACTTCTACATACAGACCATGACTCACCATCTCTACACCTTTATCCATGCTATTCTTTCCACCTCTATCTGCTGACCTACCCATGCTCAAGATTTAATGTAAATATTCTCTCCTCCATGAAGCCTTACCTGATGACAAGCACAGTCACCCAAGCAATAAAACTATTACCTACTACTTAGTGCCAGGCACTGTGGTGTGTGCTAGGAAAATACAGAGGGATTAAAATACTAACTTAGAGAGTTCGATCTAGTGGTGGAAACATGCAGGAGAACAAGTTGTTGCAATACAAAATGAGTACAGTATTATAGCTGAGTTATGGATAAAGTGAAGAGAACAGAGGAGTAACTTTGGGAACTTTGAAGGGCTTCAGAGAGGTGGTGATCTGTGAAGGCAGAGATAAGGCAGGGCAGGAAGATGTTAAGAATATGACACAGTGCCTGGGCTTAGCACATACTCACTGTATTGAATAATTTCATGTAAGTCAATTTTTTTTTTAAAAGATGACTGGTAAGGGGATCTTAACCGTTGACTTGGTGTTGTCAGCACCACACTCTCCCAAGTGAGCTAACCGGCCATCCCTATATAGGGATCCGAACCCGTCGCCTTGGTATTAGCACCACACTCTCCCAAGTGAACCATGGGCCGGCAGTCTTGTAAGTCAATCTTGTCTCCTTAAAGTCAAGCTCCCAGTGACTTTAGGGTTGGGTCTTAATGCAAGCACTAGACACAGAGTGTTAAATAAATTTAAGAGTATTTCTCCACAGATCCTCTAAACATAATGGTCTGTTCCTACTGAAAGAGGTAGGACAGGTTTTGGTGTGAACTATCTAGGGTCGAAGCCTAGAAAGGCTCAGAAGTTGATTCCCACTGATCCCCCGTCCCTAGTCAGTTGTGACTTTCCTGAAGCTCCTCTTCTCCTATTCAAACACAGGATATTTAAGGCTTTTGCCTCCTCTTTTAAAGAAAATATGCTTGCTTTTTTGTTTTTTTTTCCTTCTTGTCTTTTTTCGTGACCGGCAACGGGATCGCAACCCTTGGTGCTGCGCCCGCACCTCGCTCAGCCAGTGAGCGGCAGGTCTGTATGTGGGATCCGAACCCTCGGCTGGAGCGCCGCCGCGCTCCCAAGCGGCGCACTGTACCAGTGCGCCACCGGGCCGGCCCCATGCTTGCTGTTTTGTAACAACAAAACATATAAATAGATCCAAGACATTCCTGTACAGACGTTCCAGACTCGTGTCCTAGGATATCGAGTCATTTGATCAAGTGTCCTCAGTTTCCTTACATGGAAAACGAGAGGACGCTATTACTCACCGTAACTCACAGGTTTTGGGATAAGCGTGCGAGAAGGAAGAGACAGGGAAAGTGATCTTTTTAAACCATCTACCAAGGGTGAGGCGCTTTACCTACGTCCAGTCATTTTCAAGAACAGAACAGCTCTCTGAAAACAAGAGCTTCCTGGGCGCTAGAGGCTGGAGTCGTCTGAAGAGAACCAGCCTGGGGTCCGAAGTCCACCCTAATTGGGGGCCAGGCGCGGGTGAGAGGAGGGACCCGTCAGTACCTGGCCTCTGGGTCAAGGCAGAAGCTGGAAGTCGCGGGCCGGCCGCATCTCTGAAGTAACGCGACTGACGCGGGCTCACCTTGGTCTCTACCGTGGGCCCTTCCTTGTAGCCGACCCGTTCCTTGAAGCGGGCCAGAAATGCCGGTTCGGCCGGTCGCACGTACGACACCTGGTTCCGCTTGCTCATGGCAGCTCTGGCTAAAAACAAATTCCTGGGGCCGACTACTGACTGGGCACAGGTCTCGGCGATTACCCATGACGTCACATACACCACGCCCCCAGACGCGGTCAACGGAACGTCAAACCTGGGCGCCAAATTCAAATTGGCGGCCATCTTGAGCGGGCGGCATCCGGGTGAGCGGCGCGGCTGGGAGGTGGGGGCTTCCGCTTCGTTGGTCTCGGGATCCAAGGGTGAGGGCGCTATGAAGCCTGGCTGCAAAAGTAAGTCAGGAACCCTGGCTTCGTGACTCCGTCCCTGCCGCCAAGTACATCTGTGAAAGGACGGCCGTCCCGGGCCCCCCGCACGATTCCCTGCTGGGCGTGAAGGGTTAGAGCTGACTGCGCGTCGGGGGCGTTTGGAATCTCTCTCTGTCCCTTAACGAAAATACGCTTGAGGAACAGCTCTCACCCCTTTCTTCTATGTATTGGGCGCATGCTAGGAGGCTGGCGCAGTTCTCGGCGCTCGCAGGAGCAGTGAACCCGAAGCGGGAGCCCTTCATCGTGGAGCTTGGCGCCCAGGGACCCGCTGTTCTCTCGGTCCTGCACTTTCCTTGCTGGTCTCTTCCCGTGTCCCGACCGGAGCTACCTCTCTAGGTAGCCTTTTTTCTTTTTTTTTTTTTAAAGATGACCGGTAAGGGGATCTCAACCCTTGACTTGGTGTTGTCAGCACCACGCTCAGCCAGTGAGCAAACCGGCCATCCCTATATAGGATCCGAACCCGTGGCCTTGGTGTTATCAGCACCGCATTCTACCGAGTGAGCCACGGGCCGGCCTAGGTAGCCTTGCCAGAGCATTGGCTCTTGTTCTCACCACGTTCTACATATTTCCACATTTCTCACTTTCCTGAAGGGGAGAATTTATGTTCCAAACAACTTCTTTCTCTCTTGGATAGCCTCTCTTTAGATAAGGGACTTTTAAAGCACGATTTCAGCCAGTGTCTGCACTATCACAGTCTCTATTTTCACTTCAAGGATACCCGTCCAGTTTCTTCCCCCCCCCCCCCCATCGGAGAAGAGCCCTATCATTTTTGCTTTTGATAAACCGTTCAGTTTTCACTAATTTCTTAGTCATTTGCTGTGTTCAAATCCTAGCAATTGTCAATGATAACGTTTCTTCAAATCTCGATTAGGAATTATGCCAGAACTATTTAGCTCCGTGTAATTTTAAATTTCATTTTACCTCACTATTGGCTTATTAGCTTTGCTTTTTTTTTTAAGTAAACATTTTATTTTGGAATCGTATATTTACAGAAAAGTTGTACATTGTGCAGATAAGTATCCATCTGATCACTTACCGAGATCTCTGCAGAGATTAAGAGCTCGCTTTCTCCATGAACCTCTCTTCTCCGATTTTTTACCCTGCAATTTCTAGCTGCCTTAACTTCAAACTATTTCTCAACTTAACCAGACCACCAAGCTCTATCTGTACTTCCCTCCCTGCGCTGCTGCTTGAAACTCCAGGCAGCTAAGCTTGAAGCTACCCAAGGGCTCACCGCTTTTGTTTCCCGTTCCTCAGGATCATTTTACTGTGCTATCTGTTGTCCAATGTCTGAGAACTTTTTGCGTATATTTTGTCCCGTTTCCTAGTTACTTAAGACAGGTGAGTAAATCCAGTCCATGTTACTCCATCATGGCCCAAAGACAAAGACTGCACTCTAGACTAATGATAAACCAAAAATAGACCCAGTCTTCTAACATGAAAGCTTTTCTTTTGTATCCTGGGCCTTCTCATTTGTTATCATTTTTGCTCAAGGTACAGAGGGACTGTTTCTTTACTGACAACTCTTGAGGGGATTGTGAAGGATAAGGGGGGAGTGGGCAGTCAGTGGTCTATTTTGTGCTTCAGAAACATTCACTTCCTTGAGGGTACAAGCTGGAAGGGTAATCTCCAGAAATCAAGATGTTCAGCAGCAAATTTTTTTTTTTTTTTTTTTTTTGAGACCGGCCGCACCGCGCGCAGCCAGTGAGCGCTGTGAGCGCACCGGTCATCCCTATATAGGATCCAAACCCGCAGCGGGAGCGCTGCTGCGCTCCCTGCGCCGCACTCTCCCGACATATGGCTTGGCCCTCAGCAGCAAATTTTTGCATTCGATTTCTTTTTGTTTGTTTGGTGGCTGGCCAGTACGGGGATCCGAACTCTTGACCTTGGTGTTATAATACCACACTCTAACCAACTGAGCTAACTGGGCAGACCCTGCTTTGAGTTCTTATGCTGTGAGTAGAAGTAAAGTTCTTTTTATTGTTGTCCTTAGTATTCATTCATTCGAAGATATTTATTGCTCACTATGTGTCAGGTACTGCTTTAGGTAATGCTTTGTAGTCTATTCGGAAGAGAGAGAGAATAAACACATTAATATGTATTATGATGGCAATAGTAATAGGTCCTCTGAAGGAAAATATAGCCAAGAAAGGAAGTTAGAATATAGTCTGTGGTCATGCAATGCCTTAGTGAGGTTATATTTGAGTAAATACCTGAGAAGTTAAGGAAACGTTCCGGGCAGAAGTCACAAAGATATTGTGTGGCATGTTCAAGGAATAGCTGGAGTCCACTCTGGCTGGAGTGAAACATGGGGTACGGTAGGAAATGAGTTGTAGAGGTGGTGGCAGACTGAGGTAGTGGCAGTAGAACACATGGGTCATATAGGGTATTGTAAGTACTTTGCCTTTTACTCTGAATAAGATGAGAGCCACTGCAAGGTTTTGAACAGAGGAGTGACTTGCTATAACATACATAGCATGTATTTATTTTAGTAACTTTTAATTTTGCTATAATTTAAACTTACAGAAATATTGCAAGAGTAGTACGAGGAATTCTTCTATAATACCATTTACCAATATTAACCACTTTACATTTTCCCCTGTTTGCTTTATTTTTTAAAAGTTATTATTTACTTTTATATATTATTACACATTAGTTATTTATTATTGTTGTTTGTTATTTATTTGCTCATTTTCCCCCAACCCCTCTGCGTGTGTATATGCCTTTTCTTTTTTTGTGACATTTGAGAGTAAAATGGGGACATTTTAGTTATACATTTTAGTAGTACATGCATATAGCATGTACCTTTACTATTAAATATTTCAGTGTGTGATTTCTAAGAACAAGTACATTCTCTTACCTAATCACACTGCAGTGATCAAAATCGAGATATTTTATATTGATGTAGTACTGTTGTATAATCCACAATTTGCCAAAAGTCCCAATAATGTACCTTATAACTTTTCTTCCCCAGAACTGGATCTAATACCAGACCTCACTGCATTTAGTATTCATGTCTGACTTTTTTTGTTTTTAGACAGTTTAATTGAGATGTGATTCACATACCATGCAATTCACCCACTTAAAGTATTAGATTCAATGGTTTTTGGTATATTCATGGATATATAGAGCTCCCAGTACAGTCAATTTTAGAACATTTTAATCATCTGAAAAGAAGCTCTGTACCCTTTGTTTATTACCCCCTAACCCTCCATTCCACACTAGCCCTAAGCAACAACTAATCTACTTTCTTTTCCTATAGATTTTCCTGTTCTGGATATTTCCTATAAATGGAATAATATAATACATGGTCTTTTGTGACTGTCTTCCACTTAGCTTAATGTTTTCAAGGTTCATGCATGTTATTGCATGTACCAGTACTTCATTCATTTTATGGCTGAATAATATTCTGTGTGGGTATGCCACATTTTATTCATCCATTCCAGGATTGATTGACATTTGGGTTGTTTCCACCTTTTAGCTATTATGAATAATGCTGTTATAAGCATTCTTGTGCAAGTTTTTGTGTGAACATCCAAGGGAACGTCAAAAAGTTCATAGAAGGTTGGTATTAAAAGATAATACAAATTCTTCCATGAACATTTTGAAGACCTCATCTGTGTTCAGTTTTGTCAGGTAACTAATCATTTGAGGAACAGCCAGGCTCTTTTTCAAAGCAGCTGTGCCACCTTACATTCCACCAGGAGTGTATGAGAGTTCTAATTTCTCCACATCCTCTCACACACTGACATTTTGATTCTAGCCATCCTAGTAGGTGCAAAGTGGTGTCTTGTGGTTTTGATTTGCATTTCCCTGATGACTAATGATGAGCGTCTTTTCATGTGCTTCTTGGCTATTTGTGTCTTTCTTGCAGAAACATCTATATTCAGATTCTTTGCCCATTTTTTAATTGGGTTATTTGTCCTTTTCATATTGAGTTGTAAGAATTCTTTATATGTGTGTTCCGGATATGAGTCCCTTATCAGATATATGATTTGTGAATATTTTCTCCTGTTCTGTGAGTTGTCTCTGTCTTTTCACTTTCTTCATGGTGTCCTTTGAAGCACAAAAGTTATTAATTTTGAATTGGTATTCTTCTTTTAAAAATGTTCAGCAGAATTTAAATGTGTAGTGAAGCCATCTGGGACTGGGCTTTTTCTTTATGGGTAGTTTCTTTAAACCTATACATTGCAATCTCTTCACTTGTTATAAGTCTATTCTTATTGCCTATTGTTGAGTTAGTTTCTGTAGTTTTTGTGTTTCTAGGAATTTGTCCATTTCATTTATCTAATTTGTTGGTGTACACTTGTTCATAGACTTCCTTTATAATCTTTGATTTCCTTTATAATCGTATAATTCCTCTATAATCTTTTATTTCTGTGTGGTTGGTAGCATGTGCCTTCTTTCATTTCTAATGCTAGTAATTTGAGTCTTCTCTCTTTGTCTTGGTCAAGCTAGCTAAAGATTTGGCAATTTTGTTGATCTTTTGAAAGAAGCAGATTTTGGTTTTGATGATTTTTTTCAATTCTCTTATTTCATTAGTATCCACTCTAATCTTTATTATTTTCTGTTTTTGCATGCATTAGGTTTTGTTTGCTCTTCCTTTTTCATTGTCCTTTACCGTGGAAGGTTAGTTTATTGATTTGAAATCTTTTTTTTCTTAATGTCAACCAAAGTAAATGATCACCTGACTGAGATATAAAACAAAGTTTATTTGAGAACTCAGTAAATAATTGTAGAATTGGACAGCAGTCCAGATCAAAAAATATTTCAGAATGCTTCACTCC